AGCCCAAAACCCCTGTCTCCAGTACCGATTGAGTGCACATCGCGACAAAGTGCACGTCACCAACTATCGAGGGATTAGGTTTATGAGTCACACAACGAAGTTTTGGGAGCGAGTGATTGAGCAAAGGTTTATAAGAAGTGTGAAGATTTCGTAGAATCAATTTCGTTTTATATCGAATCGCTCAACAATCAAGGTCATTCACCTTCTTAGGAAATTTGTAGAGAGGTATTGAGATAGGAACAAAGACCAGCATTTCGTGCTCATTTACATAGAAAAGGCATGAGGCATATATGAGTGTAACACCCTGGCCCCGTTGGACCTGAGGTAGTTACTCCAGAATACTCTCTAGACCTCTAGTACTGTCCTCACAAACCACACACGTTGTCCTCACTCATGTGCGTTCTGAGAAACTTCCCAGGGGTCACCCATCCCAAGACTACTCCCGTGCAAGCACGCTTAACTTTGAAGTTCTTAGGTGATGAGCTCCCTTAAAAGGAGATGCACTTCTGTTGGTTTGAGTAGTATCATTAATCCTGTTAAATTAATCTCAAAAGTGTTATAAGTAGGATATCTCGAAAAGTCCTTTGGTGGGAAAGGCATATCACGTAAGTATATCCACATCATCATGGATATGTATGAGTATTGTACTACAAGTGCATGTAATAGTGTAGGGAGAACTGCAAAATTCCCTATTAGTATCGTAGTGTACCAAGAATCGGCTATGAGTCCTTATTTGGTATAATCATGAATGAAATCACGAAGTGTAATTCTTTTAAAGGCGAGTCATATAGATTTTAAAAGCATTTGAAGGCTTCATTAATCATTATTGACAATAATTAATGGCATATATATGCAAATTGAGTTGGATGTTTTTTGTAAAATGCAACCACCAAGTACATTAATAGAAACAATGGCACTAATATTACTCCCCAAGTTTCTAATTCCTAAAATGCTACTAATTTTTTTCCCATAAAAATGACCTTTTTTCTCCCAGGTACAACAGCTTCTTTTTCCCTCCGTCTTCACCATTGAGCATCAACCTAATTCCCGAATTCATAGAACTCCCGATCGTATTCCTTCTTCGGACCTGCGCTCCCTCTCACACTTGCGCGTGCTCTAAGAGGTAGGAGACCTGCCTTCGCTCCAGGTCGTTCGCCTTTGTCGGTGGTTTGCAGCGACACACCAGTCACCGCCACCGCTGCGCACCGGTCACCTTTACCACTGCTTAGCGACGCACTGCCGTCATCATCGCCTTTCCGCACTACAATAGCTATGTCGTTGCTTCAAATACTCTCTTCTTCTTCTTTCTTTTCACCTATGTCTGTGAGTATCATTGGAATGCACAGATCTAATATGGAGTCATCTTAGGGAAGTTATTGGGGCAGGGGTAGGGAAGATGGAAGGGCAAGGGCGGAGGATGATTTTGCAATTGAAACTGTTGGCTGAAGTTTACGACGGAGATGGTTGATTTGGAGGAGATTGTTGAAGGCGGAGGATGGAAGTGGTTATGGTAGGGCTAGGGAAGAATTAAGCCAGGTGCGATGGGCTGGGGCAGGGAATGGACGGGAGGGGATTACGGGGTTGGGGAACAGTGACAGGTTGGTGCGGCGGTGATGGCCATGGCAGGGGTGGCGGTGGTGTACGGGTCAAGGGCGACGGCGGGGCAGGGATGAAGGTGACGACTTGGGTTAGTGAGGGGGAAGGCCGCGTAAGTGGTGGCGGGCGCCGGGAACAGTTGAAATCTAAGATTTATTACAGTTTCATCGGAAAAAGTCGTCGGAAAATTTTTCGATGATTACAGTGACATGTTTCACGGTGACATTGAGTAAGTGACATTCTATAGTGACATAAAAATCTGATAGTGACATATGAGAGTGACATAAAAATCTGGTAGTAACATATGACAACAACAACAACAACCAAGCCTTAGTCCCAAAAGATATAGGGGTCGGCTAACATGAATCGATACATGATATCAACACCAAAAGGAAAAGCAAGAAAATAAAGAAAAAAAGATAAGCTATTATAAAAAGATAATATAAAAAGAGATGAATATACATAAAATGATAAAATAAAAAGGATACAAATAATGTTTATATATAAGGGTAAAAAAACAAGGGAAAAAATGATACGAGATCACTCCTCCACACGAATACCCGCCTTCCACTTTGCTCTCTCCAAAGTCATACTCTCATTCAACCCAAGAAGAAGCATATCACTTCGGACTCCCCTAACCCACGCTGTTTGGGCCTTCCTCTCCCTCTCTTCCCTGCCTCTTCTCCACACATCTCAACTCGTCTGACAGGTGCATCACTCGGTTTACTACGCACATGACCAAACCACCGTAGGCACGACTCCCGCATCTTATCTTCAATAGGTGCTACTCCCACCCTTTGTCTGATTGTCTCATTCCTCACACGGTCCTTCCTATTATGCCCACACATCCAACGCAACATGTGCATCTCTGCCACACTCATCTTTTGAATGTGACATTGTATCACCGTCCAACACTCTACGCCATACAGTAATGCAGGCCTATTTGTTGTCCTATAAAATTTACCCTTCAGTCTAGTCGGCATACCTCGATCGCATAGAAATAATGACGCACTCTTCCACTTCATCCACCATGTTCTGATTCTATGGGATACATCTCCATCTAACTCATTGTCCTTCTGAATTATGAAGCCCAAGTAACGGAACATATTGCTGACCGGTATCTCCTTACCATCTAGAGTAATTCCGTTATTACCACTGCTTCTACCTCCACCAAACTTTCACTCCATGTACTCTGTCTTGCTCCGACTTAGTCTGAAACCCTTGTTCTCCAATGTTTGTCATCATACTTACAACTTTGCTTCAAGACCTGATTGCGTCTCATCAATCAATACAATATCGTCGGCAAACATAATGCACCACGGTATATCGTCTTGAATTGACTTCGTAAGTTCATCCATTACTATGGCAAATAAGAAAGGGTTTAGAGCCGATCCTTGGTGTACTCCGATAGTAATAAGGAACTCTTCAGTCTTCCCTACACTAGTACGAACACTTATAGTACAATCCTCATACATATCCATGATGATGCTGATATACTTGTGTGATATGTCTTTTCAAGTTAAAGCCCATCAAAGAACTTCTCGAGGTACCCTATCATATGTCTTTTCTAAGTCAATGAACATCAAATGCAGATCCTTGTGAGTGTCTCTATACTTCTCTATAAGTTGTCGAAGAAGGTGAATGACCTCAGTTGTTGAGCGACCAAGCATAAAACTGAATTGATTCTCTGAAATCGTCACAGTTCTTCGAAGTCTTTGCTCAATCACTCGCTCCCAAAGGTTTCATGGTGTGACTCATAAGCTTAATCCCTCGATAGTTGGCACATTTTTTTACATCACTTTTATTCTTAAATAAGGGGATAAGAGTACTCTTCCTCCAACTCGTTGGCATCTTGTTGTTTCTCCAAATCATGTTGAAGAAACTTGTTAACCACTCGACGCCTCTCTATCCCAAACTTCTCCAAGCCTCGATCGGTATGCCACTTGGACCCACTGCTTTCTTCTGCCCCATCTTCCTTAGAGCTTCTTTAACTTCCGTTGTTTGGATCCTTCTCACAAAATCACTATTCACCATACAATCTGGTATGGTCAAATCAGCGATATCTTGCGCTTTGTTCCCGTTGAATAGTGTATCAACGTATGACCTCCACCTCTCTTTTCTCTTCGTCCTCCATTAATATCCTTTGATCGACAACCTTCACACACTTAACTTTTGCAATATCTTGAGTCCTGCGATCACGAAGACGAACAAGTCTATAAATACCTAGTTCTCCTTCTTTAGAGTCCAACTTTTCATACAACTCCTTGTTCACTTTCCCTCGTGCTTCCTTTACGGCTTTCTGTGCTTGTCTTTTAGCCTCTTTGTATGCTTCTATATTCTCGATCACTCCAATTTGTCCCCAACTTTTTGTAGCAATCTCTTTTGTTCCTTATGACTTGTTTCTCGCAATGACATATGACAGTGACATAAAAATCTCGCAGTGACATCATGTTTTTTCAAATATATGACTTTCTTAGTCACTTTTTTGTCCTTTTATAAAAATGGTCACATTTTTGGAAATTGGCTTTAATTTAGTAATATTAAAGGAAAAGACCCACGTAACATTTTTGGCTTTAATTTGGTAGTGATTCCCTATTGTGTATATGAGGAGGTTACATCTAGATTCCCTATTGGGTAGTGGTCATTTTTCTCTTGGATCATGGCGTCAAGTGGATGGATCTATTGTAGTACTTTATGTTCGTTTCGACTATTATATCTTTGTGATCTGAATGGCTTGGACATACCTTTCGATCATTGGGGAGAAAGAAGATGGGCTATTCGCCTAAGGTCAAAAGAAATTAGCCTTAAGCTCAACCAGCAGTCCACCACCATCGTCCCGCATTTGAAACAACCGGGTCCGGATATGGCATCCCAAAAACAAATAGTGTGTTTGAAGGTATTAGGAGATTGGTGGTGGGCATTAATAAGAGGATGTTTAATCGTAAATTGTGTTGCTGGTGTGCTAGGTTGGGGACAGCTTTAGACAGTAAAGGGGTAGTGGTCGGTGCTTGTGGTTGACAAGTCATTATTGTTATCAAAGATGAGTGGTCGTCCTGTTGCTGTTACTTTGTTCGGAGATGAGTGGTCATCATGAGGTCAAATTCATTTCATTAATAATTCTAGAAGTATGTTAGTTTGTCTATTTTCATTTCCGTGAAACAATCTGTGAGTTGAGTTGTCTGGCCAGTGGTCATAGGACTTGATTTGCTCTTTGTGAGTTTGAGTCCATACTCAAATATTTTTATGCTGATTTAATAAGAGGCTTTGCCCCTCAAAAAATATTCTAATGTCCTATATGTAAACACAACGTATTGCCAATGGGACCAACAAATTGAAAGAAAAGTGCAATAGTAATAAAACATGAAAGACCGGAAATGGATGGTAGAACAGAGTAAGAACAATACCTGATGAGAAACTTGAATAGCTTCACTCAAAACCTAAAAATTAAATAATCAGTTTGTTATGCAATCATAGGAAAGTTGAACAATACCAACCCGCCAATACTACCTCAACAAAAAAGGTACTAAATGACAAAAGTATATATGAACTCTGCAGTATAGTTGAGCAAAGAATGAATACATCTGATGTTCATTACATATACCTACCTCCAGAGCTTGTTTTGGGTGGCCAAAATGAATATGCATCATTCCTAAACATAGCAAAGCAACTTCATATCTGCCGAAGCTGCCGCCTACAGAAGAAGGCGGAGGTATATAGTCACATCCTTCCGTCCCTGCACTTTTGTAAAGACAATTCCAGATTAGTAACATTTTTATCAAAACAGTTAAGTCCAGTGATGTTGAGCAACCAGCAACAACAACATCCAAGCCTTAATCCCAAAAGAATTTGGAGTTGGCTAACATGAATCGATCCATGATATCAGTGCTAAAAAGAGAAGAAAGATAAGGGGAAAAGTAAGATAAAATGGATAAGATAAAGATAAATATAAGATAACAACAACATAAGAGTATAAGAAAGATAAAACATAAAAACATAAAAACCATAAAAAAGATAGAACATAAAAATAGCATAAGAACATAAAAAGATAATGAAGATAAACGATAAAAGAGAGGAAAGATAGAAAAGAGATCACTCGTCCACATGAATGTGTGTCATCCACTATGCTCTCTCCAAAGTCATACTCTCATCCAACCCAAGAAGACGCATATCAGTTCTGATTCCTCTAACCCAAGTCTGTTTGGGTCTTCCTCTCCCTCTCCTCTCTGCCTCTTCTCCACACATCTCACGTCGTCTAACAAGTGCATCACTCGGTCTTCTACGCACATGACCAAACCACCGCAAACGAGACTCCATCATCTTATACTCTATAGGTGTTACTCTCACCTTTTGTCTGATTATCTCATTACTTAAGCGGTCTTTTTTGGTATGTCCACACATCCAACACAACATACACATCTCTACCACACTCATCTTCTAAATGTGACATTGTTTCACCGCCTAACACTCTACGCCATACATTAATGCAGGCATAATTGTTGTCGATAAAATTTACCCTCTAGTCGGCATACCTCGATCGCATAGAAATCCTTATGCACTCTTCCATTTCATCCATCCAGCTTTGATTCTATGGGATACATCTACATCTAACTCACCATCCTTCATAATTATGGATCCCAAGTAACGGAACATATCACACACCAGTATCTCCTTGCCATCAAGAGTAATCCCACTATTACTACTACTTCTACCTCCACCAAACTTACACTCCATATACTCAGTCTTGCTTTGGCTTAGTCTGAAACCCTTGGTCTCCAATCTTTGTCATCATACTTCCAACTTTGCTTTAACACCTTATTGCGTCTCATCAATCAATACAATATCGTCAGCAAACATCATGAACCACGTTATATCTTCTTGAATTCACTTCGTAAGTTCATCCATGACTATAGCAAATACGAAAGGGGTAGCTGATCCTTGGTGCATTCTGATAGTAATAGGGAACTCTGCAGTCCTCCCTACATTAGTACAAACACTTGTAGTACAAGTCTGATACATACCTATGATGATATTGATATACTTACGTGATATGTCTTTTCTAGTTAAGGCCCACCAAAGGACTTCTCGAGATACCCTAACATATGCCTTTTCTAAGTCAATGAGCACCAAATGCAAATCTTTTTTAATGTCTCTATACTTCTCCACAATTTGCCTTAAGAAGGTGAATGACATCAATTGTTGAGCGTTTAGGCATAAAACCAAACTAATTCTCCGAATGTTTCCCACTTTTTTGAAGTCTTTGCTCAACCACTCACTCCCAAAGTTTTATGATGTGACTCATAAGCTTAACCCCTTGATAGTTGGAATGTTCTTATACATTACCCTTATTTTTAAATAGAGGAATGAGAGAACTCTTCCGCCAACTCACTGACATTTTGTTGTTTCTCCAAATCATGTTGAAGAAACGTGTGAGCCACTCGATGCTTTTCTCTCCCAAACTTCTCCAAGCCTCGATCGGTATTCCATTTGGGCCCACTGCTTTATTCCTCCCCATCTTTCTCAGAGCCTCTTTAACTTCTGCCGTTTGGATCCATCAATACCTTGCACTTTATTTTCGTTGAACAAGGTATAAAAGTATGACCTCCACCTCTCTTTTATTTCCACGTCCTCCTTTAATACCCTTTGCATCGACATTCACACACTTAACTTTTCTGATATCTCGAGTCTTACGATCAAGAAGGCGAGCAAGTCTGTAATTTATTTCTCTCTTTCCTTGGAGTCCAACTTTACATACAATTCCATGTTCACTTTCTCTCTTGCTTCCTTTACAGCTTTCTTTGCTTTTCTTCTAGCATTCTTGAACTCCTCTATGTTCTCATTGCTCCAACTCCTGCCCAACGTTTCTTAGCATTCCCTTCTGAGTTTTATTGTTTGTTTCACCTCATCATTCCACCAAGATGTGTCCTTTTTTGGTGGCAGACATTCTTTAGATTCTCCGAGTATCTCCTTCGCCACTTTGCGTGTCATTATCAATACACCAAACATCTTCTTCTACCATTTTGTGTGTAAAACTTTGTTGGAGATCCCCCCTCGAGCCTCCACCACTTTATCTTTGGCTTCATTTGTACCTTAACTCACCTTCTCTTCTTACCTTGAAAGTCAAGCACGAGCATCCTATGTTGAGTGACAACCTCTCACCTGGGATAACCTTACAATCAGTGTAGCTAGTTCTCCAAGTCATTCGTACTAAAAAGTATTCAATTTGGGTACTATTAGCTCCATTTCTATAGGTCACAAGGTGAGAGTCTCTTTTCTTGAACCAAATGTTCATTACAGCCAACTCATATGTCGAGTCAAAACCATGTTTGTCATGGATACTCTCAAAACCATCATGACTTCGGCCCACATACCGGTTTAGGTCATCTCCTATGAGCAACTTCTCTCCCCTTGGCACTCGTCGCACCACTTCCTCAAGATCTTCACAGAATTGTTGAGTGGTAGATGCATCCAATCCCACTTGTGATGCATAGGCACTTACCACGAACATGATCCCATCTCTTATTACCAACTTAATGCTCATGATGCGGTCGCTCTTCCTAAAGACTTCCACCACAACCTCAACATAATCATACGCCACAATAATGCCTACTTCATTTCTGTTCCTCTCTCTCTCCGAATACCATAACTTAAAACCTTCAGGATTAATCTCACGTGCCTTTTCTCCAACCCACTTAGTTTCTTGCACACACATTATGCTGATACTCCTCCTCTTCATAACCTCGGCTACCTCAAATGATCTTCCCGTAAGAGAGTCAACATTCCACGTCCCAAAACGCAATCGAGCACCCTGCCTTCTCTTTTTCACACCACATTGACCCCCACCATGCCTTTGCATATTAAACACCATCCCCGGGCATTGGAGTGGTGCATTGATTCTGGGCGACAACCTAGTAACCTAGCATTCTTATAACCACACCTATGAAGTATAATGCGCCCTTGCACATTTGACATCACCCCCAGGCAGAGGGATGACGCGTCGCTTGAGCAACAAATGACTACAAATGAGGAAAAAACAAGTAATAGTTGCAGCATGTTAATTATTGTTGTTTATTGGAAACATAATTCTGGAAGACGTCATTTCATTTACTATTGTTGTAGATCCTGTTTGGGTACGGAACTATGGATTGACTAGAGGGTGGGCGTGCGGAACAATAGTCGTAGTGGTTAAAAGATAGTCTTAATTCTTCCAATTATTTCCAGCGAGCCGAGGATGGTCATGTTAAATTCTTAGTTTTGATGTAAACAACAAAGAGCCAATGGAAAAAAATAGAGGAATTGACCTAAATAAGAGTACAAACGATTGCGAATTCCAAAAATAGGACTACTTGTTTTTATTCCTTAAATAGGAGTAACTACTGCCATGTTTTGACATTAGCAGGCTTTAAACATGGCAGTATTTTCCAAGTTTGTTAGTAATTACACCTATTTAGAGAATAAAAAACATAGTACTCCTACTTTGGAATCCCAAGACGTTTTTACTCCTATTTCGGGAATTTTCCCAAAACTAAAGCATTAGATGATCGAAATTTTTCCAATTGAACTCTTAAAGTGAGTGAAAAGTGATCATAATGTCCAACAACTAATTGTGACTAAATCAAGCAAAGGCTTCACATATTGACTTCTCTTGGTCAATGATGGCAAACTTTGGACAATGATTTTAATTATTATAATTTTATGAAAATATTTCGAATAAGGAACATTTTAATATAATTTTCATATTAAAAACAAATTTATATTAAAAAAATCATTGGTCAAAGTTGATTAACATTGGCCAAGAAAGTTAATTTGACAAACCATTTTGGGACGGAGGGAGTATATAAATGAGGAAAAAATATACTTCATCCATTTCCTTTCTATCTTCCTACTTTGCTTTTCAGGCCGTTCCCATATAATATTCCTTTTACCTTTCAAGAGAAAATGTGGTTTTTATTATTCTTTCTTTTTTTGCAAGAATGGTTTTTATTATTCTATTACTTTTTACAGAAATATCTACATTAAAATTTTGATATTCTTATACTTTATGCCATGTCAAAACCAGAACATTGAAGAGAGACCAAGGTAGTCAAAAGCGAGCGCTTAAGCACACCAGGCGCAGCGCAAATGAGATTTAGCGACTAAAGAATGGTCAGGCGCAGCTCCCTGTCTAAAGTGCAGTTTAGGTGCAAAAGCGCAGAGAAGCGCACGCTTAATTTGCCTCGGCAGGGAAAGGCTTATCAGCCTATTTTTTTGTTTGATCTTACTTTAAATAAGAAGCCCATACCGATAATAAGATTTAGCCCAGTCCAAATAATAGGTAAAAACAACTTAAACCCATATTAAACCCTTCTTAGTCGTGAGAAAAGTCTTCTATCTTGAGTCTTGACTTCATCGTGACTCTCCTATGCTGCGAAACATGCTCAGCACTGAAACACATTCAACGAACCCACAGAAACCAGAAACCCATAAGATGTCTTCTTCATCATCATCTTCCCATGTTCTTTCCTCTTTCCTTTTCAGCCTGTAGTTTTCATGTATTATGTCATCTTCTTGGTGATCCTTTCATTTTATTCTTTCAGTCTATCTTCTTTCTTTATTTTTATCTGTTCCAGTCATCTATACATACTTTATAGTTCCTTTTGCTGCTAATATATTCTATACAACTCAAACATATTATATGTACCTAACTACCAGTTTACATTACATGTACTCTATATTATTTTATCTTATGATACAGTCAACTCTATATCTTCCTATTATCATTTCATATTTTAACTGTATAAAAACTTCATATAATCTAACTCAGTTAATATTTTCATACACTATAATTTATGCTATTCCTAGTGCTAAAATTGCAAAATCAACAAAGACAGACCCCACTGTTTTTGTGAACAGTGACTTTATTTTGGTGATTCGTGACTATTTTTTAGAAACATGACTTTTTGATGCATTTAGTTCAATATGATGTTGAATATGTCATATTTGATCACTCTAGAATAGTATACATAATAGTTTCTAGGGAGAACTACCAAATAAACCCTCGAACTTTCTTAAAAAGTGCAAATAAGCCCTTTTATAGGAGGCTCTATCCGGCCGTCACCATTTGGGGCAGTTTATGGTGAATTTTTTTTATGAAATTTCTTGAGCATCTTCTTCATTAAGTCTAGTTTACTCATACCAAATTTCAGCTAAAAATTCAATCGGAAAGGCAGTCAAATGAATTTTTGAAGATGACTACGCAGTTAGACAGCGCAGTATATTTCAGAAAATCATTTGACTGCCTTCTTGGTTGAATTTTTAGGTGAAATTTGGTATGGATAAACTAGACTTAATGAAGAAGATGCTAAAAAAGTTCATCAAAAAAATCCACCGAAAACCGCCCAAAATGGCGACAGACGGACAAAGCCTCCTGTAAAAGGGCTTATTTGCACTTTTTATGAAAGTTCGAGGGCTTATTTAATAGTTCTCTTTATTTTCTATATAGTGCGCTTGACCCGAGTCAGGCGAGCACTTTTTGCGCCTTGCGCCTCAGGCGATACAAGTACTCTAGCGCCTTAAGTGCGTTTCGCGAGCCGCGACTTTGACTACCTTGAGAGAGACAAAAGGAGGGACCATCAATATGATATGGATGCATTCTGGGGTCGTGCTATCAACCGGTCGGGCCAAAGAATCATAGCGAGTGCAAAGAGAACAAGTAGCATAGGAGACTAGAAGTGGCTAAACTTGGGCAGACAAGATTATTTATTACTACCTCCACCCGATAATGTAAGATATGTGTGGGTTTGCTGCGGTTTTTAAGAAAATAAAGGATAAAGTGACTGTTTTACAATTCTAACCTCCAAATAGTAAGAAAAAGTAAGATGGGTCCACAAAAAGTAAAGAGTGAAATGATAGATAAAGGGATAAAGTGAGAAAGTAAAAAGTTAGTAGAGTTCAATTTAGGAAAGTGTTCATATTTTTTAGACAATCCAAAAAGGAATGTGTATCTTACAAAATGGGTCGAAGGGAGTATTATTTATCATTAGTTTCCTAATCAGATTATATTATTTCCTAGTATTAGGGCTCTTATTATAGCTATATAGGGGACCCTGGTATTGATTAATAGATACTCCCTCCGTCCCATAATTAACTTCGGTTTTGACTGAGCACGGGGATTAAGATAGTGGGATTTGTGTGGTGGAGAGTTGTGCAGAGGAGAGAGAAATGTGTAAGAATGATTGTGAACCACATAATCTTTATCAAAAAAGGAAAGAGGAGATAAATTTGGGACGGATCGAAAAGGAAAGAATGAAGATAATTTCGGGACGGAGGGAGTACAAAAATTGATCTCCCTCTCTGCCCTAGTTCACTACCTTTCTCTTGTTCTCACCCTTGGATGAGATCTTGTTTGCTCGCTCTTAACACAATACGAGTGGCATAAACAGAAACTCCAAAACACAAGTAGAGAGAAAGCCTAAGCTTACATGAACAAGCAGCAAACTTCAGTTGTATATACGATCTCTATACAGGACTGCAACTCATACATATATGTATATTTGGCCAATTTGAGGTAGATTAAGCTGATAGAAATTACTTGATGCATATAGGAAAAACAAATATCAACAACTGCAAAAGAACCTTCAGAGTTCAACATAAATAACCATTTAATGCATACCTGTAATCAAAATACCGATGAAGATTTTCCAAAGCAGTAGGGTAGTCATCATGATAAAGGCTATTTAAGTAACGCAAAAAGTGAACCTTCATTCCAGAGAGCAGTCAGAGCACAAACAAAACAGTTAGATAAAGAAAGTTCCAAATTAGCATAGAAATCTTTAATGATGTCATTTTCACTGGAAACTCACACGATGCAGTTCAGGTGCTTGTTTCTGGAGCTGTTGTAACACAGAATCAAATGCATTGAAAATGAAGGAGCTTCCATGCCTGTGTAGCAAGCTAATCAAAAATTGTTTTTGCAGTACGATTTTATTTATAAAAATGCAAAATAATCAAGATGTTCAAGGCGAAACTGGGCACTTCTCAATCAAACCAGCCTGATCCATTAGGTATCCTTGTATTTGCCAGTTGGTTCGTATGAACATTGCAACTGAAGGATTACCACCTTTTGATGCATCACATGGTGAAGACCCACTTGGGCTGGACTCCCCAGGTTTCCTATTGTGTTTGACTTTTGTACTGTGAGAAACATAATTTCCTACAAATGCATAGCAATGGGAAATTCATACTATAACACATATTTTGAGGATTTAATCATTTGAAATAGGTAGCAACTAGCAATTATGTTGCTAAAAAGGTTGATGAAATATCATAAATTCTTGTATGGTGATAAACTACAAAAAGAGTATATGACAACATTATATAATACTACCTCCGTTCTTAAATAAGTGCAACATATTGAACTTTACACTATTCACATGTTCTACTTTGACTACACTTTATTTATTAATGTATTAACATTTTTTTTGAAAAAAATATTATTAAATTTGTCTCGTTGTAAATTTTCGCAATCTGATTTTTTTAACGTGTTTACTAATGGAGAATTATACGTATATTAATGGTCAAAGTTGTGCCTCGGAAAATGTGAAAAGTTGACCGTTGCACTTACTTAAGAACGGATGAAGTACAATAATATACAAATAAGTGGCGTTTATAGGATAAGATCATAAGATCCTACTGATTAGTTATTATGCATGAATGAGAACCCACACATAGGGAGCTATTGTAAGGACTAAAGATTTAAAAGGCCAAACAAGAATAGTTCAAATGTGTTTAATCTAGACCATATTGAACGCTTGAGATCACCCATGAAGATGGGATTATGGTTTCTAGTGATAGTGAGCAGATAGTACTTTAGATTAATTATGTACTATATCACCTATATGCACTGATAAGAAGACAAGTACCGAATAAGAAAAATCACCGATCAAGTATCATTAATCAGATTATCCTAAATAGGCAAGCTGGAAAAAATAATTTCTAAGTTAGTTAGAAAAAAAATTACCTTCAACTAGCCCAACAAGTACGTTAGGAGCATGATTGTGAAATGGAACTCGCTCACTAGCTACGCTTTCTGCTTCCATTTTCTTGCTGACTTTTTGACAAACAATAATCTCCATTTCCATATTCTCATAGGTCCTTGATCCATCCAGATCGCAGCTGGTACCATCTAAATTCAACAACTCATAGGGAGAACATCTTGAGAGTGACACCTTGCGGTACATCTCTATATTTGTTAATAGGTGACAGACGGCCTACGCAAGAGTGAAATTTACTCTCATGCATGTAAGTACATTAAAATGTGGAAAACGAAAGTGCAATGCTTTAACAAGTTAGTACCTCAAATGACAAGATATTGAAAGCAAGTAAGCAACGACGAACAAACATTCCAATGTTGCTACTCGGATCCAAACTGATTTGATCATCGTCAATTTCATTCAAATCAGAACCCCCAAGTATGCCTGTTCAGAACAATACCATAACCCTCAGTAATGCATGGCAACCGCGGTTGATCGACACTATGTCTATATTGGGCTGAAGACTAGCGCAGTCTAATCTTTTCTTAATTTTTCTCATGTAAACTAATTTGTTTTTCCCAATTAGCTCACTCCATTATTCCTTTCAGTCTGATATAATCAGTCTACAGCCCTCAACAATGTGATCCGCCTTTGATGGCAACAGACACATAGAATAAGAAACCCTAAGCCGGAATCAAATTATCCCCTCACCTCGCAACTCGTTAAAGAAGTTAAACAGATCATCAGGGGAAGCTAAGGATGATAAACTCTGCATCAAGTTTTCAATCAACCAGTCATTCAATGTTCCGGATACTTTCTTCAACTGCGCAATCAACTCATCTAGCTTCGGCTCAAAAATATCCTCACATGACTACAGAGTAACAGAATACATAATTAATTGAACATATGTACAATCTATCTGGAGAATATAAGCACCAAAAGGTAGATAACAACTACTGAAAATATGATGGATTTGAAATACCTTGATGAGAGAGGTTAAGTACAGTGCCAGGCCGTTATGCTGAGAGACAGAGGAGAAAGGGAAGGGAGTAGAGTCTTGAACTGGCGGAGCATATACGTGAACCAGAATGCAAATGGAGACTTTGTGGGGTGTAACCGTGAAAGCGCCTTGCGGCTTCACAATCCCGGCCATGGCTGAGCAGCCTGAGCTTCGCTGCTGCGGAAGTAAAAAAGAGCGGCGGGACTGTGACTTGTGAGTGCGATGCGGAGGGCTGATTCAAAATTTGTATCAAAAAAAAATTGTATTCCAAATTTGTATCAATAGGTATTTGTCGTGTTTGGAACTGATGTTTGTGCTTCTTTTCTAAAAAAAAAAGAGACAGAATTAGAATCATTTTTCAAACGCTGTTCACCTTCAATTTCTAAAAAAACGGATTCTAGAAGTAAATTAGAACATTAGAATCACTTCTGCACTTTCAGCCAAACACTCCAACTTCTGCTTTTGCTCCTTGAAAGCGTAAAAGCGGTTTTAAGGATCAGATCCAAACACCCTGTTAATGTGGCTTTTTTTATCATACTATGTATGTGGCTTTTAGAAAATACTCCGTATAATTAGTCACTTTGACCAATTATATTTTGGAAAAAAATCAACTATAGATTGTGATCTACAATAGGTAATTCTAACATACTCTGATTCTTAATTAACTTTACACTTTCCTTTTTGGATCATCTCATATTAAATTTTACACTTTCTTATTTGGCAAACAAATCTACACCAAACAGTGCACAACAGTGCCAAAAAGTGTCAAACAGTGTCAAAACAGTGTACTCTACATTAAAATTTACCTCTCAGTAAATTTATTTCCTTAATATGTGTGTAAGCTTAATTAAGAACCAGAGGCAGTATAATTTAAGCTATAGGATGCATCTTCTTGTATCAATCTAGTGACTTGCATAAACCCCTTCAAAGTGTAAGCTTAATTAAGAACCAGAGGCAGTATAATTTAAGCTATAGGATGCATCTTCTTGTATCAATCTAGTGACTTGCATAAACCCCTTCAACAGGTCACCTCGTCACGAGGGGCAATTTATATCCTACACTCGGGTGTACATGTACATCCGGTTTTTTTGTAACTAGTAGCAAGTTTGAGGATAATTAATAGGCTGAAGTGCTGAGCTGCTTTCTTTTTCCGTCATTGCTCCACTCACATTCATCCTTACTTCATATGTTCTCATTTCTTTTCTCTTCTTTGGGTATGTTTGGCACGACTAACTGAAAAGATATTTTTGTGAACTTTTTAGTAACTATTAGCTTTTAGTGACTGGAAAGATCTTAAAAAGAAAAGATGGTAGTTGTTTGGTAAAAAGCCGACTGTTTGATATGGTCATGTTTGGTAAACAAACAGTTAGGATAAATTAATACTAAAAGTCATAGTCTTTTCTCAGATGCTACTCCCCATAGCATCTCAAAAAAGATCTTTTATTTTTTGAAAAACTCTTAAATTTTTTCATGCCAAACATACAACTAAAAGCTTTTATAGACTTTTTAAACAGTACGAAAGCTAGAAGACACAAACTTATGTCTGTCAAACATGCACTTTGTTTATTCTTCATTTTTTTTGGTTTTTTTTTTGTTTGTTCTCGTTTCTTTTTTTCTGTTTTTAGCAACCTTCTATTTTAATGTTATATTCGATTATTATGAAAATGTTTAATATAAAATATTATTAAATGTTTCAATCTATTTTTTAGATTCATGTAGGAGTTGATTATAGATATAGGAGCACAAACCATGACACTCAATTGCATGTTTTCAATACTCAACAGAGAAGGTTTGATGCTCAATAAAAATGTATTGAAGTTCAGCTAAAAAACTTGTGATTTTAATATCAATACTCATTTTGTAAGTTATGTTTGTTCAACTTGTACTCATATTATGTTCATTTTTAAAATATCATATTCATGCAAATTTTAAAAGTTGCATATGACATTAGATTCACATTGTTAGGTTCTAATACTCAACCGAATAAGTCTGATACTCACAATGGGTCTGATGCACATTAAAAGTTCATCAATGTTCATTTAACAGAATCTGTTATTTTCATCTCAATAGAGGAGGTTTGATGCTCAATAAAAATGTTTTATGTCAAACTAACAAACCTTAAGTATTTTCATATCAATGAGCATAAGGTACTGAATTTATGCTCATTTTCTAAATGTCGTATCAATGCATTTTTTAAAAGTACTATTTTACATTAGATTAACATATTGAAATTCACAGTAGTTGATTATAAATATAATTTGATAAGTTTTTATAAAAGAAAAAATAACAAAAAGAAGGTGAATTAGAAGTTATGAAGCAGAGATCACTGAATGTTAGACTTTTAATACTCAACATAATAGGTCTGATGCTCATTAAAAGTTCATTGATGCTCATTTACCAGAAACTGTGATTTTAATATCAATAGCGGAGGTTTGATGCTCAATTAAAATGTCGTGATGTTCAACTAACAACCCTTACGATTTTCATATCAATGTGGACTTTGTAAGTTATGTATGCTCATCCGTTATGTATGCTCATTAGACTCACATATTGAAATTAATAGGAGTGAATTATAGAATTAAATTAAATAAGTTTTTATAAAAGAAAATATAATAAAAAGAAAAAGAATTAGAAGATATAAAGCAGAGATCGTGATACTCATTGTTAACCTCCTAATACTCAATAAAACAGGTCAGATGTTTACGAAAAGTACATTATTGCTTATTTAAAGGAAGTCGTGATTTTTCGCTTAAATTACAAAAATGCAACCGAAAAAAAAATTGACATGTATTAGTTATTGGACTGTCTTCCTTAGTTGGGTCGGGTTTATATACTAGTTGACATAGACATTGGTGCATTGGACGTGTATCATACTAATTCGTGTAAAAGACGAGGCCTTAATCTTCGACCGTTCCTTTTTTTAGGAAAAATTAATTAAAATATCTCAAACTTTGAATGGATGTGAGATAAACACTTCAAACTTCCATATGTAATTTAAATACTCCAAACTTTAAATAAAAAGTTATTTTAACACCATAGGCATTTATTATTTCTTTCAAAGATGTAAATTTATAAGTCCCGTAGATCCGAAAGCCCAACACGAACTTTGGATATATCAGAAATGGATCAGAATCAAAGTGTATAACAAAATATAAAAGATGAATCAACTAATACCCAAAAGCCCACTTGTATTAATTAACCCGTCTGATTACAAGGAAACTTCTCGATCGGTACGTCGGGACAGTGTTTTTAATACAAGAAACAAGAGTAATAATGCTATTCTAGAGCTTGAGTATCAAAAAATGTTAATCCTTACAATGATATCAAACCTTCTATTTATACTAATGGAGAGCATGAGCTGCTCTATGCTGATTGGCTGTTGTTTCACCGACTTGATCACCTATGTTTCCACTTGCTGATGTCACCATCTGACATTAATTGCACCTGGCCACTTACTGGTTATCCGTTGCTCGAACGGGATGCTGGATCATGCGGAAGAAGCTGTCAAATTGACCCAAGTATGATATATGACCCGAACTCCGTTCGGCATTTCTTCTTTCTGGGCCGGGCTCTACTTGGACTGAACCCCGTTCAGTATGGATCCTTCACTGGGCCTACTCATCATAGGGTAATGGACTCGTTGTTTGGGCCGGGTATCCTGGGTCTTTTTAATCCGGGTATTGGGCCTCCGGGTCAATATCCCAACAAACACCATAGACATTTATTATTTCTTTCAAAAATGTAAATTTATGATGTTAAATGCATTCTTTAAAATAACAAATTGATACTGTTGCAATTATATAGTGGGGGCTAATATTATTTATTTTAAAATGAAAGTTTAGAATGTTAATTGAAATAATAAATACTAAAATATTTTAAATTATAAAATCAACCCAAAAATTTACTCCCTCCGTCCTATAAAATAAGTCCCATTTTCCTTTTTGGGTCATCCCAAAAAATTGTTCCCACTTCCCTTTTTGGAAAGTTTTGTGTGCCTAACATTCATTTACATTTTTCTTACTCAAGCACAACCATACATTTCCACTTTATTCTCACTTTCTTAAACTTCAATCCAAATTGAAATGAGACTTATTTTATGGGACGGAGGGGAGTAACATTTTTGAAAGAAATTATACTACTTTCTAAAATATACTTTTGAAGTTTTGATATTGAAAAGGAGTGGCCACCGCAGAGTTGCGAGCAGTCGCCGGCCGAGTTTGGCACAGACCCACCGCTACCTGAGGCAAGAGAAGCAATCAAAGAAGACAACTCTACCGCGAGTTTGGCTGGTGGATTTCATCTACTCCTTCAAACTTGATTTTCTACCTTCGATTTCAGCTTCTAAACTTTCTTCAGCGGGTTAGTATTCTTCCATGAGTTTCTCCGATTCTTATAAAACTGAGGGGAATATCACACGATTTTTGTCATCTCTTCTTAAAGGCGATGGTATTTATTTATTACGTATTTGTATCGGGTTTGGATTTTTATTAATTACTTCATATGCATTTGTACCAAATAAAAAGTTATTCTATTGAACTGAAATGCCAAATTGATTAAGATCTTTGCTGTCAATTTTTTTCACTTCCCGCATTGACATTAACACAAGGAAAAGGCTGTGAATATGTGTGAACGCAAATTGGGACAAGAGAATGCAAAGATTTAACGAGTTATGGAAGTTTCAATGTGATTTTTGAACTTGGCACATCAAATTAAGTCATAGATATTCTTTTCTGTGTTATTCCCATAAAATAATTTTAATTTGGAATTGCAAGACTATGTAAATCTCTTTATGTAATTTGTTTTATAATTTATCCAAAGAGTAGTACTTGTTTTATAATTTCTCAAGTTAATCTGTTTGAGAAATAGTTGTTTTTTAGTTTTGTTGTTCTAATTAAGTCATGTGTTCTTTGTTCAATCTTGAAAAAATGGTTTTTTCTCCAGATTTAATGTATTTCAAATGGCCCTTTCTCTGAGAAAGCTTCGACAGCCGCTTACAGCTGTACGCCTCTCATTTTCGTGGGCTGAGAGTGATGATAAACTTGTCCGCGTCTTAGCCCTCAGTAGACAGACTTCCAGTATTGGAGGACATGTCTCTTACATGCTGTTTGCCTGGCCTCTTTATCACCTGATTTATACCGGTAATCGCAGTTGTATATATTACAATCGTTATAAAGTTCCATTTGATTATGAAAGTGCCTCAGAATTGTATAATTCTATCCATTTTAGTCCAATAGTGAAATTTATGGATCTGAAGTACAGAGGGCTTTGTAGTAGCGCAGATTCTGAATCCGAATTAAATAATTCTGATGAGGATGGAAGTGAAAATGAAAAGGGACAAATCGAATCAAGAGAAGACCCAAGTGAGGTTGATAGGGTGTGTAAGGTGATTGATGAATTGTTCTCACTAGATCGAAACATGGAGGCGGTTTTGGATCAATGTGGGATTAGTTTGACCCATGATTTGGTGACAGGTGTGTTGGAGAGGTTCAAACATGCCAGAAGACCTGCTTTTCGGTTCTTCTGTTGGGCTTCCCAGAGGCCAGGGTATGCTCATGATTCGAAAACGTATAATTCAATGATGGCAATACTTGGAAAGAATAGGCAGTTTGAGACTATGATTTCGGTTCTTGAAGAAATGGGCGAGAAGGGATTACTCACTATGGAAACCTTTGTGATCGCAATGAGGACATTTGCCGCTGCAAAAGAGAGGAAGAAAGCTGTCGGGGTTTTCGAATTGATGAAAAAGTACAAGTTCGAAGCAGGAGTTGAGACCATCAATTGCTTGCTTGATGCTTTGGGAAGGGCAAAGCTTGCAAAGGAAGCTCATGTTTTGTTTGAGAAGTTGGAGCATAGGTTCACACCGAACTTGCAAACATACACAGTATTGCTCAACGGTTGGTGTACGGTCAAGAACTTGATGGAGGCTGGGAAGGTATGGAATGAGATGGTCGACAAGGGTTTCAAGCCCGATATCGTTACACATAGTATAATGCTAGAAGGGTTATTAAGGGGTAACAAAAGGTCCGATGCAATTAAACTCTTTGAGGTCATGAAGTCAAAGGGCCCGCCCCCTAATGCAAAAACCTACACAATTTTGATAAGATACCTTTGCAAACATAGGAATATGGATGAGGCGATCAATTACTTCGATGAAATGCTAAGTATGGGATGTGGACCCGATGTTGCGATCTACACGTGTTTGATCACGGGGTTTGGCAATATAAAGAAGATGGACAAAGTCTATGGGTTGTTGATGGAGATGCGTGAGAACGGGTGTCCGCCTGATGCCCAATTATACAATGCATTGATCAAATTGATGACAAACCGGCGAATGCCGGACGACGCAGTGAGGGTATATAAGAAGATGATCCAAAACGGGCTTCAACCTACAATTCACACATATAACATGCTGATGAAATGTTTCTTTATGACAAGGAATCATGACCTTGTGTTTGCAGTCTGGGAGGAGATGAGGTTGAAGGGGTGTTGTCCCGATGTGAACACTTATACTGTTTTCATTGGTGGGCTTATAAGGGAGGGTCGGTCAACTGAGGCCTGTGAATACTTGGAGGAAATGATAGGGAAAGGAATGAGAGCTCCACAACTTGACTACAATAAATTTGTGGCTGATTTTAGCAGAGCTGGTAATCCGGATATATTGGAGGAGTTATCTCAAAGGATGAAAATCCATGGGAAGTTTGAGATATCAAATCTATTTTCAAGATGGGCTGAGATGCTGAAGACTAGAGTAAGGAGAAGAACAAACCACCCTATTCACTAACAAATGCCTTGCTAAGTTGTTGTAGAAAGATTCATTCTGAGCTACAACTCACTGTTTGATTTTTTACTTCACTTGTATAATGTGGGCAGAACGGGCACGTCGTAAGAGGCTGGCCATTTGATTTTTTGGGTGGGGGTGGGAAGGTTTTGGAGGGTTCCCATTTTGTTCTGATAATACAAACCGCCACATTCTCCCATGAATTTCATCTTTGAGAGAATGATAAGATTAATGCTTGGTTACCAGCTTGTTCTTTGGAGCTGCATCACCAACTTATAGAATTGTTTCAATACTTTTTGGTGAGAATGACAATGAATTGCATTTCTATTATTATTACTATTATTATTATGATCATCATCATCATCATCGCCTAACTTTAACAAGTATTGTGAATCATGCGCAGTAGTGTGGCATAGCTGAGCGGCCGCTACCAGGTCTCCGCAGCGAGCGGTTGGTAAGTTGGTTATTGCAGCCATAGCAGATTAGATATTGCCTCAACCCTAACTTCTTTTCTGCACTATGATTAGGTTTTTGGGGGTTAATTGTTGCTCATATGGTACTTTGGGGCTAAAGTTGAGCCCTTTTATATTACGTCAGAAGTCTTCTGCGTTGAAAAAACTCTAATCAGACGTCAATCTTTTTTGGCAACTCATGAGTTCCTTCTCGGGCTTTCTGTGACCTCCGGTTACCTTTCCTTAACCTTTCCTTAACATGGAGACTAAAAGGAAATATACTAGTTTCTTCTTCTGGCCTGTTTAAGCCCAGTGGTGAGAATCTTGATCCTGTCTGCAATGTGATATAGTTTGAAAATCATGACAAGAAGACCGTTGTATGTGGCTTAAGTAAATATGATGAATGTCATCCAGGAAATTGTGTTTGATTATATCATCCTTTTATATTCACTTTTAACATATTTATATATTTTGTTTGGGAAAAGGGGCAAATAAGCCCTTGAACTAACCGAAAAAGTGCAAATCACCCCTTTTATAGGAGGCTCTGTCCGGCCATCGCCAGTTGAGGTGGTTTCCGGTGGATTTTTTTGATGATTTTTTTTGAACATCTTCTTCATTAAGTCTAGTTTACCCATACCAAATTTCAGCTAAAAATGCAATCAGGAAGGCAGTCAAATAAATGTTTGAAGATAACTGCGCATTTAAACAGCGCAGTACATTTCAGAAAATAATTTGACTGCCTTCCCGGTTGAATTTTTAGCTTAAATTTGGTATGGGTAAACTAGACTTAATGAAGAAGATGCTAAAAAACCACCGGGAACCGCCCCAAATGGCGACGGCCGGACAGAGTCTCCTATAAAAGGGGTGATTTGCACTTTTTCGGTTAGTTCGAGGGCTTATTTGCACCTTTTCCCTATTTTATTTTAACATTAATGCTTTTTTTATTAGTGATTTCGGTAAAACCCGTTTTGTGGCTTATCAAGTATTGACCTGATCACTATCAACTATATTTCCATAACACTAAGTGGCTGTTTGCTAATAATAAAGCTTTCTGTTTTTATGGAAAACTGAAAACTTGTTTACTAATTCTGTTTTTCAGATCTATAAATCTTAACACATTTTCTCCACCACTCTTCAACAACAACAACATCAAAGCCCTAGTCCCAAAAGAGTTTGGGGTTGGCTTCTTCACCACTGGTTGTGTCTTCTAAATTAGAGAAACAGTTTTCTAAAGTAACATATTACCTAGTGACCCTAGAGTCATTATGATGACAACATATACCGCGTTTCAACTGATGATAGTACGTACAACAATAAGTGACCTTATGTCCTTGTTGCCATTGTTAATGGCACTACGATAAAAAGTGTTATTTGCGTCTAAATTTTTTACGTCGACATTTGTGAACGCACATAGGCATTCTTTTGCGTCCAGATGTGAAAGCAAAAGAATCTTACAAAAAAAGTATGAGTAGATGCTATTTCTGTGGACGCTAATGAAAAGGTTTTAATGTTTTATTAGTAATTTAGTATCCATTTATAATTTTCTGAGTAATAAAACATAAAAGAAAATCCTAGATAGCTGTTTCCCCAAGGAGGAATCGTGCTCTCTGTGAGATACAAGGGAGGGGACAGTAGAAATCAAATCGACAACGAAGGTGAAGGATTCCGAGGCAATGGATGGCTTCTCAGTTAGTGCTGCAATTGGTACTAGGCGAGTTTGGCTTCCCGGTTTATCTAGACTTTCTAAGCCAGTACCACTCTGTTCTCAATCCGTTCTCCTCTTCACTTCCAGCGCACCTTCTTCCGGTATCCCCCTTCTTCCTATACCATCTTTCTTCAGTTTTTTGATGACATGATTTCTATTGCCTTTCGGTTCCCGTTAATCATATTTTTGGATCGGTGTTTATGCGGCCGAATTGTCATTTGTCAATTGTATGTCACAAGGGGTTTCTGGTAATGTATTTTTGGATTTTGATTCTTTTCCTATTTTGATATGCCTTATTTGAGAATTCTAGATTTTTTGTTCCTTTTCAAGGGAGGGGAAGATTTATTTATTCAGAGTCAACAGTTGTGTTAAACTGATAGAAAAACTGTCTGCGTTTCTTTGTTATGAAGCAGCAGTCAGTCCATGCAATTTTGGACGCAATTTTCATTATGGGTCATCCGGAATCAGTCTCTCCCCCCTTTAGTGCAGAGGTAAGACTGCGTACATCCGACCCCCTTACCCCACCGTAGGTGGGAGCCTTTGCGGCATTGTGGTAAATGAAAATGAAAATGAGTATCGACTTTCTCCTAGCATCTGGATCCCAAACTGTACTTCTATATGTACCGACAGAATATGATATAATATGTGAAATGAAGGGATGCTATTATATGTCACATAAAAGGTAATTACACAATTCTTGAGATGCTATTGTATGTCGTAGAAAAGGTAATTACACAATTCTTGAGATTCATATTTATTCCTGATACTAATTTTACCTAAAATGAAATTCTCTCTTAATTGGTTGTCTTGTTCTTGTATTGCAGGGAATTCCAACGGAATCACAACCATCTAAACTTGCTGGTAGCAAAGGCTCTCCAAATAGATACTTTTATTTTGATTAATTGGCTGAGGGTTGACTTGTTTGATAACTTTTGATAGTTTACTTGTTCGTCACTTTCTCATTATATTAGTACGGGCTATGGTTGAAGCTTTTCCCTTTTATCAAACTCAGCTCACTACAGTTAATTTCGTGGATACTTCAAACTTGATTCGCCAGAGCCTGGGGGTAGAAGTACTATCGTGCGAGATTCATTTCTTTTTCTTGATGCATTATTGACTTTTCTCAAATTTGTCTCAAGTTTAGATTGAGGAGCTAAACAAGGAGATATTTGAAAGATTGTCACTCAAATTCCTAATTAGATCAAATAAATCTAAAAATATTTTTTTGGACCCAATTTTTTTGTACACATTGTTCTCCAGATGTTCTTTTATCACGTGTATTATGAATTTATGATGACTAGGATATGCCTCCTAGTTAATAGCTTCTCGTATAACAAATTTGTGTTCAAATGTTCTTCCCAAAAAAACTCTTCAAATGTAATTATTAATCTCTACAAATAGCACAGCTGCAAAATAGTACAGCGTCGTACCACTCTTTTTGAACAATGATATTCATGGTTTGTTGATTTCGGCCCTATGTAAAAAATATGTAGTACTACTAGGGGTGGGCAAGAATACCGGAAAATCGGTATACTGCACTTACCGTATCGGAAAATACCGGAATATTGGTATACCGTCATTTTCGGTACGGTTAGGTAGCACAGTATATTTCAGAAAATCATTTGATTGCCTTATAGATTGAATTTTTAGCTGGAATTTGATATGAGTAAACTAGACTTAATGAAGAATATGCTCAAAAAATTTCATCAAAAAATTCCACCGGAAACCACCCCAAATGGCGACAGCCGGACAAAGCCTCCTATAAAATGGCTTATTTGCACTTTTTATGAAAGTTCGGGGGCTCGATAGTTCTCCATACCTTAATTGATTTAATAAGTTGTTGGAAAATCAATCATGTCGTACTTGACTTATGTATGGATATTTCATAAGTGATGAATATGTTCTTTGTGGTGCGTGTTGAGCTAAGTTGATAATTCAGTTGATGCATTTGGCACATTTTAGGAATTTTGATGCTAAAGCCTAAAACAGCTCATTTTCGAAATAAATGAATTTCTAAGCCATATGGTATTTTTGAAATCACTTCAATTCATAGTTAAGCTTGGATGTTATTGCATCTAAAAAATTGTGGATATTAATTGATGTGAGTTTTCTTGCACTAATAAAAATGTAGCAGTAAAGAGTTTAAGTATGAGTATCGTCTCCACGAGGATGGAAAAAAAGAATTAAGAATTAAATAAATTCAGCGATTAAAATAAATAAATAAAATGCGATGGTGCGAGGTTTGGATTGTTGATAAATTAAAATGCGAATAAATGATTAAAATAATTGTGTTCTTTCTAAATAATGACGATAGGGAACAAAGATTGATTCCGGGGTAATTAGATTTCTGGTTGATCAGGCTTAATCACATAAAAGTTACGGAGTATTTAATTGAGCAATGTTGATCAATACTAAGTTTTACCGCTCTCGCGGCGTAGAGTACAATAATTTAGGGAACAAGACTGATCTCGCATGCGATATGTATCTAAATTATTGCTAAAACGAGCGAACGTACGACCTTTTAACCGTTACCAATCTTTTAGCGAACGATAAAGTGTGTGTGAAGGTGTTCTAGAATAAATTAGATCTCTCTTAATTTATTCTAAATGCAATTATAATCCCAATGACCATTCTAGGTTACAAGAGATATCAATTAAATCATTCAAACACAAATTAAATAAAAATCATGCAATTAGTCCATCAAAAAATTAACCCCTTCATCAATCTCAAATCCCTAATTAAAACTACCCTCAATTCATAATTAAATTAAGGCTAAAAGGTCAAATAGGTACATGAACTAACTTAAAGTGTTCAATTAACCCCTTATATAGGAGGTTCTGCACGGCCGTCGCCAATTGTGGAAATTCGCGGTGGAATTTTTTCATGAAATTTTTTGAGAATCTTCTTCATTAAGTCTAGTTTACTCAAACCAAATGTCAGCTAAAATTTCAACCGGGAAGGCAGTCAAATGATTTTTTGAAGATAACTGCGCAGTTAAATAGCACAGTACATTTCGGAAAATCATTTGACTGTCTTCCTGATTTAATTTTTAGCTGAGATTTGATATGGGTAAACTAGACTTAATGAAGAAGATGCTCAAAAACATTCATAATTTTTTTTACCGAGAACCGCTCCAATTGACGACGGTCGGGCAAAACCTCCTATATAAGGGGCTAATTGAACACTTTAAGTTAGTTCATGTACCTATTTGACCCTTTAGCCTTAAATTAACAATAGAACGGACATGAAAATAATTAATTGTCATTAATTAAAAAGATAGAACCTACAAAGAATCTCACAATCTTGATGAACAAGGCTGAAAAGCTCTCTAAAAAAACGTAATAGGGTTTATCTGTCTAAGCTCCGTAACGTAAAACAGGCAAACAAGGACTGTTTATATAGAAAAAGCTGAAAAGTGGCGAAAACCGACCCGCACGGTTGTCCGCACGGCGTGCGGTTCACCATGCGGGTGCCTGAAAAATAATTCGCGTCTCCGTATGTAACCCGCACGGGTATGGTCGTCGTTTGCACTAGTCGGTTTCGGTCGGTTGGAATGGTGTGGCACGAGTAGTTGCACTACTCGATGTGGGTTCGGTTTATTGTCATCAGAACCAAACGAGCTTTTACCCTTCTGTTCCACAAGAGACTTCTGTTCTCGTTGAGCTCATCTTAGGACACCTGCGTTATCTTTTAACAGATATCAAGCATTTGGTCCCGCCGCACCATACGATAGGCACGGGAGGACATGATCCGCTCCTCCCAAAATCTAGAAGGGAGCGACACGTCACGTGACACCCAGGCAGACGTCCCTCTCGAAAATTTAAAGCACTCTTTGACTCTCTTTTTAAAGTCATTTTCATCATTCCCTCGCGGTACTTGTTCGCTATCGGGTACTTCTGCACCTGTTTCTGAACCGCAGGGCGTGCGGTTTCATCCACGGGGCGTGCGGTTTAGACTTTTGACTCTATGCTCTCTGAATCACCCGCGAGGCGTGAATGAATGATGCCCGCGAACGTCTTTTGAACCGTTTCTTGCTCTTTTCTTCTCCCCTTTTGGCTCTAAAAATTCCTCTCGATCGTCCCGTGGACCTCCAATGCTTCTTGCCATCTCTCGAACGCGTCCCAAATCTTCTCAAATAAAACTCAAGCGCCGATGTCGGGTCCAAATTCCCAATTTCTCAACAAAAACCAACCAAACCTGGTAAACTGTGACTTGAGCTAATTAAACGCTTTGTGACTCCAAAAGATTAGGAAAAGTGACAAAACTCAATCTCAACACGCATCAAATGCGTGTTGAATACGAACTTATCATTGATTCACATTATTCTCATTCTTTCAGAATTTTAATCTCATTTGCCACTAATGTTTTTATTATGTAACATTAATAATATAAGAAGTATGTGATAGAGTATACGAACTCTGACCCTCCGGTCTACCGATTATTGGGTCTGGACAACGGCTCACGTACACCCAACAAAGAACATTTATATTGTTGTAAAGTTTACACATCCATTGTACATACTAGTTTAGGCTTTTATGTAGTTGGGCCTGTCGGACCTATATTAGCGACCCGACCTGCTATTTCTCTGTATATACTTCTTATGAGAGACATTGTAAATCCTAGTCAAATTATCATTAAATACAACACATTCATCTCCTTCTCCATTTCTTGTTCAATCTCTCTAAATTATAAAATATATGTAACAATTATCCATCAAATGGTGCTTTCGTTGATAATTTGAACACAATAAGCTTAGAATCCTCCCAAATTAACCAAAAGTTCACCCAAATCACGAAGAATTAACAAGAACCTTTAATGGAAAATTCAAAAGGGGAAAAAGAAATCTGGATTTTCCAGATCTGAGGCATACCTGGCCAGATCTGAGGTGACCAGTTAACCAGAGAGCTCACAGTCAGGGGAGGGACTAGATCCGACCCTATCCAGCGACAAGCATCTCGCTTCACCTCCAACATGGCACCGCCTCCTGCGCCCTTACTCGTCCACCCGCCTTCGTCACAACACCCTCACCAGCCACAAGTCTATCTAGCTTCACGCTTCGCTAGCTTCATGAACCATGTCCGCCATTAATGGCCGTTGGGAATCTCTGTTCTCGCGCCAAAGCCAACCTGAAGGGACATGGGCCATTCATGGCTAGAAGCTACTGGTCACGGATGCCCTAAGATCGTGCTCCGCCCCGTTGAGAGCTCACAGTCGCAACCAGAGCTCTTCATTCCTCCCCTGTGCCAGAGATGACTGCAGCAGACAACCGGTCAAGCGTGACGGTCAAGGGTCTTCCCTCTCCGTCCGAACATAGCGAAACTCCCTCTCCGCCTCTCAGCCCCCCACACGGCGAGACCATGGGTAAGGGGATAGGTGTAACACCCGGCCCCGTAGGCCCCGAGGTAGTTACTTCTGACCTCTAGTACTTTCCTCACAAACCGCCACTAGCCTTTTCCGCACACTTTGTCCTCACTCGTGCGCGCCCTGAGAAACTTCCCAGGGGGTCACCCATCCCAAGACTACTCCCGTGCAAGCATGCTTAACTTTGGAGTTCTTGGTGATGAGCCCTTAAAAGGAGATGCATCTTGTTGGTATGAGTAGTACTATTAATCCTCTTAAATTAATCTCAAGTGTTACAATCACCCCCACTTAGGAACGCAATGTCCTCGTTGCGCCCATAAACCAATCTCAATCATATCCCAGAATCTTTTCCCCCGCTAAGTGCCCGCCCGATATCCAACGGATCAGCACACTGTCGCAGGGTTGCTCTGATACCATTTGTAACACCCCGGCCCCGTAGGCCCCGAGGTAGCTACTCTAGACCAATAGTACTGTCCTCACAAACCATCACGAGCCTTTACCGCGCACTTTGTCCTCACTCATGCGCGCCCTGAGAAACTTCCCAGGGGGTCACCCATCCCAAGACTACTCTCGTGCAAGCACGCTTAACTTTGGAGTTCTTTGGTGATGAGCTCCCTTAAAAGGAGATGCATCTTGTTGGTATGAGTAGTACTATTAATCCTCTTAAATTAATCTCAAGTGTTACAATAGGTCCATGGATGGGTTGGGATTTTAAGTTAAGGACATTGACTACTACTATTTTCCCAAATAAACAATGACCTACGGGTTGGGTATATCCAAGTGCATATATATACCGATATGTATTTTATAACTTGGGGAAAAGGAATATAAGTATGTGTATCACCCTATGTTTGGGTCTTATACTTGAAACGTTAGTTATTCTACATTTAGCCTGCTGCTCGCTCGGTATT